ACAAATGAGGCCCAAAGTCAGTAGAAGGAAGGACCTAATAAAGATTAGAACAGAAATAAATAAAATATTAGAAAATCCATCATCATCATCCACCATATCAACAAAAAGGACAAAACCCATACAGCTGTCTCCACAGATGCCAAAAAAGCATTTGACAAAATTCAACATCCATTCATGATACAAACTCCCAACAAAATGGGTATAGAGGCAAGTACCTCAAAATAATAAAGGCCATATAATGACAAACCCAAAGCCAACATCATACTTAACAGCGAGAAGCTGAAAGGCTTTCCTTTAAAATCAGGAACAAGACAAGGATGCCCACTCTCTCCAATTTTATTCAACATAGTACTGGAGGTCCTTGCCACTGCAGTTAGACAACACAAAGAAATAAAGGGCATTCAGATTGGTAAGGAAAAGTTATACTGTCACTCTTTGCAGATGACATGGTATTGTACAAAAAACCCTAAAGAATCCTCTCTAAAACTACCTGATCTAATATCAGAATTCAGCAAAGTTGCAGGATACAAAATTAATACACAGGAATCTTCTATTCCTATACACTAATGATGAAATAGCAAGAGAAAGCAGAAAAACAATTCAATTTCCAATTGCATCAACAAGAATAAAATACCTAGGAATAAACCTAACCAAGGAAGTGAAAGACTTATACTTTGAAGTAGAGCAAATCACACTAAAATTCATATGGAACCACAAAAGACCCTGAGTAGCCAAAGCAATCACAAGAAGGAAGAATAAAGCTGGGGGATTATGCTCCCCAACTTCAAGCTCTACTACAAAGCCACAGTAATCAAAACAATTTGGTACTGGCACAAGAACAGATCCATAGACTAATGGAACAGACTACAGAGCCTAGATATAAGCCCAACCAAAATTGTAAATTAATATATGATAAAGGAGCCATGGACATACAATGGGGAAATGACAGCCTCTTCAAAAGCTGGTGTTGGCAAAACTGGACAGCTACATGCAAGAGAATGAAACTGGATTATTGTTTAACCCCATACACAAAAGTAAACTCGAAATGGATCAAAGACCTGAATGTAAGTCATGAAACTGTAAAACTCTTAGAAGACAACATAGGCAAAAATCTCCTGAATATAAACATAAGCGACTTCTTCCTGAACACATCTCCTCGAGCAAGGAAAACAAAAGCAAAAATGAATACATGGGACTACGTCAAACTAAAATTCCTCTGTATGGCAAAGGACACCATCAACAGAACAAAAAGGCATACTACAGTATGGGAGAATATACCTGTAAATGACATATCTGATAAGGGGTTAACATCCAAAATACATAAAGAACTAAATACACCTCAACACCCAAAAAGCAAATAACACGATTAACAAATGGGCAGAGGACATGAAGAGACAGTCCTCCAAAGAAGAAATTCAGATGGCCAACAGACACATGAAAAGATGCTCCACATCACTAATCATCAGGGAAATGCAAATTAAAACCACCATGAGATATCACTTCACACCAGTAAGGATGGCCAGCATCTAAAAGACTAAGAATAACAAATGCTGGCGAAGATGTGGAGAAAGGGGAACCCTCCTACACTGCTGGTGGGACTGTAAGCTAGTTCAACCATTGTGGAAAGCAATATGGATGTTCCTCAAAAAACTAAAAATAAAAATACCATTTGACCTGGGAATCCCACTCCTTGGAATTTACCCAAAGAATACAAGTTCTCAGATTCAAAAAGACATATATAACCCTATGTTTATCACAGGTCTATTTACAATAGCCAAGATATAGAGGCAACCTGTGTCCATCAGTAGATGAATGGAAAGAGAAGATGTGGTACATATACACAATGGAATACCATTCAGCCATAAGAAAGAAACAAATCCTACTATTTGCAACAACATGGATGGAGCTGGAGGATATTATGCTCAGTGAAACAAGCCAGGCAGAGAAAGACAAGTGCCAAATGATTTCCCTCATTTGTGGAGTATAACAATGAAGCAAAACTGAAGGAACAAAATGGCTGCAGACTCAGAGACTCCACGAATGAACTAGTGGTTATCAAAGGGGAGGGGTGTGGGAGGGCCAGAGGGGAGGGAGAGAGAAGGGAATTGAGAAGTATTATGTTTAGTACACATGGTGTGAGGGGTCATGGGGAAGACAGTGCAGCACAGAGAAGGCAAATAGTGAATCTGTGGCATCTTACTACACTGATGGACAGTGACTGCAATGGGGTATGGGGGGGCTTGATAATATGGGTAAATGTAGTAACCACATTGTTTTTTCATGTGAAACCTTCATGAGTATATATCAATACATTAATAAATAGAAAAATAATAATAGAGATCTCATGTACACTTAACTCAATTTTCTCCAATGGTAACCTCTTGTGAACTGCAGTACAGTATCACAAACAAGATACTAACATTTATACCGTCAAAATAGATTGTCACTTTGTTTTTAGATTCTACGTTTAAGTGAAATCATATGGTATTTGTCTTTCTAAGAGCAGTAGACTCAGACACTGAGATGTGGTGGTTACCATGCAGCAGGGGTTGGTTAAGTGGGTGAAAAGGTGAAGGGGATCAAGAGGCACAAAATCTCAATCATAATATAAATTAGTCATGGGGATCAAAGTACAACATAGAGAATATAGTCAATAGTTCTGTGACATCATTCTGTGTTGACAAATAGTAACTACACTAGTGGGGATGAGGACTTAATAATGTAACTGTTAAATCACTATGTTGTATACTTGAAACCAATATATTATATGTCAACTACACTTCAATTAAAAAATAAACAAAAAAGTGAGTATCACTGCAAGAATCCCTCATGTTGCTCTCTTACCACCACACCTTTGTCTCATGTTGCTTCCTACCCAACTCCACCTATGCTTCCATAATTGCTGACAACCTGTTCTGTTCTCCATTTCTATAACACTGTCATTTCAAAAATGGAGAATTTTGATAAATGGCTTATCATTTATACTTATACTGGCTTAAAGCAAGACAAACTTACTACCTCACAGTTCTAGAAGTTATAAGTACAAAATGGGTTTCATTGGGCTTAAAACCAAAGTGTCAGTACAGCTACATTCCGTGTAGAGGTCCTAGAGGAGAATCCAATTTCTTGTCCTCCCAGGTTGTAGGGCTGCTTGCATTCCTCAGCTTGTGTGGCCCCTTCTTCCATCTTCAAAGCCAGCAGCTGACTCTGACCTTCTTTGATCTTTTTAACACCCTTGTGATTACAGTGGGTCTACCTGGATAATCCAGCATCATCTTCCTCTCTTAAAATCCTTAACTTAATCACAACCCCAAGTCCCTTTTGCCATGTAAGGTTAATATATTTATTGGCTCCGTGGATTAGAACATTTGACATTTTGGGGATAGCCATTATCCTGCATACCACATCCATCTTCCTGGAAGAATTAGTCCACCTGTCTTCCCTTTTTAAAACAAATATGCATAGCCCAACATACAAAGCATACAAAAGCAGACAGCCCCTGGCTGGAAGTGCAGGGGACCCAAGTTCCTTCAATTCCCAAGACAACATTTGTGATGATCATTAACAGAAACTTCTAAGGTTACCCCTTGTACACTGATGTTTTAGGGCCCTAGAATTCTATTTGCTACTTTAGAATGGAAGCTGTACAAGTATCTTCTCTTTCAAGGACAGGTCTGTTCTCCCCTGGACCCTGGTGAGAATAGTAAGAAGAAGGTACAGAGTAGTGGTTCAGAGCACAGGCTCATTTAGTAGATGGCCTGTGCTGATGTCCTGGTTCTACTACTTTCAATTTCTGTAACATTGGACAAATTCATTATATATCTTCAGAACAGAGGCTCCAAAATTTACACATTGGAATCGTCACACACACTGAAGCCTATGTCCCACTATTAAATTAAAATATGATCTGAGGATGTGGTCTGGGCTTTGGAATCTAAGATTCTAATATGCAGTAAAGTTTGGGAGCCACCGCCTCAAAGGGTTACAGCAGTAAGGATTTGTTTCTGTTTTTATTTTAGTATATTTGAGAGACAATATAATAATGGTTTCAGGTGTACAACATAGTAATTCTACAATTATATACATTACTAAAAGTTCATCACATTAAGTGTAGTTACCATCTATCATCACACAAAGATATTACATCATTGACTATTACTTTATCTGCTACACTTTCATCCCCATTATTACTTTGTAATTGGAAGTTGGTACCTCTTTAACCCTTTCATATTTAGGCCATCCCCCAACCTCCTTCCCTTATGACAACCAAGTGTATTCTGTTGTGTTTGTTCATTTGTTTAGTTGCTCACAGACTGTATCACTTACTTTTCCTTACAAGTATTGGCTCACCAAAATAGAACTGGTAAGTCAGACAGTGTTCCAGGTTCAAGACAGCCTGGAAGGTTTATCTGGGTCTGGGTCTGTTTCCACATCTACAAAATTGGGATAACTGTATCATGGCTGCAAATCTGACATGCTTTATAAACTGTAAGTTACTGCTCAACAGCTTTTGTACATAACACATACATACTCTCCATCTTCACTTCACACTCCACTCCCCACCAACTTTTACAACAGGGATTAAAGTAATTTCTCTGTCCTTGGCACTGCATTAAGTGAGGTATAAGGAGGTAGACAAGCTGGAGAGCATGTGTACCCAAGAAGAGTCCAGAAATACAAACCACCCATCACAAGTAACTCTGAAGTCCCAATGCCAAGCAAGTCCAGGAGCCTCACACAGTCAATGCAGGACTCACCTATACTGGAAAAGTCAGCCTGGAGCTAAGGGAAGGGCATAAGCCATTAAATCAAACAGTTCCTGTACCCTCTGGCAGTTATTCTACTTTTTCAAGTCCATTCCCTCTTTTATAAAATGAAGTCATATCCACTCCCCATAGGACTGAAGTGTGGATGAAATGAGACCATCAGAAAGTGGTCTATAGAGTGCAAATTACAGTGAAGTATCTTCTGGCTACCACAAAAGAAAGATCAAGTCACAGTGAAGTCTTCCTAAATTTTATTGGCATTGAAACTGAACATGGGTTGAGCATAAACCCCTCCAAATACAATTTTTAAAAATCAAAAATACACATACACAAAAACCTGAATACAAAATCTAACCTTTCTCCTGAGACTCCCTGGGGGTGGGTTACTGTCCTTAAGGTATCTAGATTGCCCCACAATTCCAGGTTTGAATTTAACTAATATAAGGCATATTAGCAAGAGAGTGTCAATACATTTCACAGCAATGCACATAAGCCTCCCCAAGGTCATGTGAGGGATTGTGGGGGTGGGGGTGGAGGAAGATCAAAGCCATGGGCTCTGGGCTAGAGGCAGTGCATGGAGGGATGTGCATGGAGGGACAGTATGACCCCTTGGGGACTGAACTCTGGAGAGAAGGCAAAAAAAAAAAGAAAGAAAGAAAGAAAACAATAAAACCAAATACCAAGCACTTTAAGAATGGATTTTATGACCTATAATGACAGATGACATCACTAACACTGAAAGCTTCTTACATTGTTTCTGGCAAAGTATTCTTTTATAATATAGTATATGCTTCCCAGGTATGGGGGTGGTAAAGGAATTAAGCCAAAATGATCCCGCCCTAAGACTAATATCTTCTAAGGGTACGTTAGCAAGAAACATAGAAATCAATATTGAGATAGATGCCACTAAGATACATAATACTGGTAGAAAGAAAAAGAGCACACATGAGACAGAGAAGAGGAAGAAGATGCTCCTGGGTCAGGGTGTGGAAGAGACCAGGTCAGAGGCCCCAACAGTTCTCTGGTTTACAGTTCCAAGGAATGGCACAGATGGTGGCAGGACCTAGATTAGAGGTTTGTCAAACACAGTCAGCACCCAGCCACCATCTTGGAGGGTGGTTACAGGAATTAACCCTTGAAGGAGTTAAGCAAACTGTGGCATCCAGGCCTCCCTCTTGTCAGTACACTTAGCTTCTTCCACCCACTCACCATTTGAGCCAACTGGCATCAACTCCAAGCCTCACCATACCAAGACCTGGATGGCCCTGAAGCAGGAGCTATGACCCAAGTAACTGTTAGAAGAAGTGGCCTGGGACCCCTGGCAGGGAAAATGCTGAATCCAGGTGTCAACAATTCCTTCCTTTGACAAAAGTCCTGGATGGGGCTGGCTGGGTTTTTGGATAACCATCCTTACTGTTCTAGCTGGAGGGGATGTGGGGATTGAACTGGGGAGGGACAGATCCCAAGAAGGTATGAAGAACCCAGAATACTAAGAGATAACCTCTTCCCACTGAGGTCACTTAAGCCTAGGCTCCCATAAGATATTGAGGCAGGACAATACAGGGGAAGAACACAGCTTTGAAAATCACTGTGTCACAGTTGCTTGAAGTGAATTGCCAATAGCCTTCTAGACTGTTGATGAAACATTGTACAGGCACTGTCTACCCCCACCTTACCCAGGAGAAAAACTAAGTCACTGAACTTAGGGACAAGGCTTACTGGGACTGAGTTTATAACAGGCACAATATGGGAGGTAGAGAGAAGTATGACAGAGCATCTTTTTTAAAAAAAAGAACCCAATCATTACAAAGCCTAAATAGGTCTAGAAGGAATGAGCATTGGGAGGCCTAATCCTAGGTCAGTTAACATCTTAGAGCATATAGCCAGGGCTCTGCCTCCTTCTCTAAGTCCTGTGACAAACACTCCAATTCTGAAAATCACAGGACCCTGAAGAGGAAGGTGGTGATGGGGCAAGGATGAGCTAGTTTTCAGCTTACTCCACACTTGACTCCTGCAGCACAGTAAATGTGGGGATTGCTTCCCAAATCAAGTCAGAAGGTGCCTCTCAGCTGGGGAAGTGGTCTCTTCTAAGGAAGCTAGATTGGATGGGACATAGAAGCAGGGTCCCACGGGCACCATAGTGGGTCACATCTCTCTGCCCAGAGTTGTGAGTGAGGGCTGAGAGCTAGGTTTGGTCTCATGGCTGAACTGAATGCTTAGCATGACTCCAGGGCTGTTCTAGTTAGTGGCTCCAGCACAGTGTGAGTTAGGCAAGAGTGTAGGACTATGTGGGAAAGGAAGAAGAGAGGAGGGGTCCCTAGAGGCTGAGTGTCCATTACATGGACTCAAACTCATCAATGCGCTGCTTGGTGTTGCCCTGCCGGATCTGGCGCAGGGTCTTGTATTTGTCTCGGCCCAGTCTCATGTTCTCAGCATGGATCATGTCATTGGCAGTCTTCTTGGACTCATCACGGGCATTAGCCAGCTCTGAAGTGAGGGCCTGTGAGGGTGCAAGGGGAAGAGGAGTTAATAGCTTCCTCCTCATTTTACCTCCCCTTATTTAACCACATGTATTCCCTCCCTCCCTCTCTCTCTGTTCCTCAACCAGCCCATTCTCTCTCCACCCACCTTACTACATGCATACACTTTTTTGAGACCCATTTCCAGCCCTGTTAGGACTATAGTGTGGCAAGAATAAAACAAAAAACACAAGCTCAGGGAATCAATGACAGGTATTCCCTGAGAGTAAAACAATGTGTGAAAGATTCAGGTAGGAATCAGGTCAGCTAAGTATTTTCTGAGTATGAGGTCAATGGAATATGGGAGGAGGATGGAGCAGAGAAAGGGAAAAGGTAGCCCAGAGTCTGTTTAATAACTGAGAAGGCCTACCTTTTAACCTCTCAGTTGAGAAAGGCTCAGGTTCTCATATAGCACTGAGACAGGCTCCTCTACCTAACCCCCATGATAAGCCAGGGAAGGCCAAGGGCTACTAAGTCAAAGTACATGGTCTCCCTGTTGGTCCTGCCTGGATACCTTCAGGTGCTTCTGCACACGCTCATTTTTCTCTGCCTCAGTGGTGCGTTCCTCCTCACTGCGGTCCTTGGCCATGGCATCAGACCGTAGGTCAGCACTGGCCTCTGCCCCATTCTCATCCTGCTCATCTTGCTCATTCTCGGCAGGCTCTGCCACATGAGGTGTACTCATAGCAGTCTTCAGCTCAGCACGGGTCTTCTCCAAGTCTTCTTGTACCATCTGAGCCTGTCCAGTAACAGAAGGAGAGAAGGACCAATAGTCAGACCAGGATAACTTGCAGCATCCTACACATGCCTAGAATGGCTCACTAGGAGGTACCAGGTAAGCCAAGTCTCTTCAACTGCCTGAATCTTAGTTTCCTTAGCTGTACAATAGGAGCAACTGTACCAGTTTCCCTGGGGTAATGGAGAATTCTGGTAAGTATCTGAGAAATAAAGCCTTGAGCTCCTTCTCCTATGATGTCCACTGTCAAGGAAGGATAGAAGGGGTATGGAACCCCAACCTAAGGAATTTAAGAAACTAGAACCTATGCATGTGGCATCACTTCCCATGATGCATTGCTATGGGCACTGTGTCTTACCTTCTGCTGCCATTCCACAGCTTCACTCTCCTTCTTCTGTCGGGCCATCTCCAACTGGGAGATACGAGCTGTCAGCTCTGCCATTTCCAAGGCCTATGGATATATTGGAAGCTTGTGAGTCTGAGTCTTCTGGTCCTCAGGGACCCCAGTTCCCCTGGGGAAGCAATAGGGAGAGCATGCTGCTCCACCTGCTTGCTATCCTAGAGGCTCTTTTTACCACAACTCATTCAGAAAGCACAGAGGGCCATTCCTATCCTCAGATCTACCATAGTACCCTATTAACTCAGAACCATTTCCTTCTAAGTCAGAGCTTCCCAGCTAGACTATAGACTTCCTGAAAACAAATTTCTATCTCTTCCTCACATAACCCTCCCTCCCTTTCCCATCTCCTCTTTCTCTCCCCTTTTCTTTCTCATTACTGCCCACTGCACAGCTAAGGACTTCAAAGTAAAGCTTTGAAGATGACTGTGTCACTGCCTGAAGTGTAAGACACCTCCCATTATCCTAGAATCTCAGGGCTCAATTAAGACTCTTCCCAGGACAAGTATGGAAAGGACACTCAAGGGTCACAAGGTGATCTGAGCAAGAGGAAAAAAAGCTTATGCATACACTTAACATTTTGGGTAAAGCTTCCCCCTGAGAATTAGGTCTTGCTTCCCTGCACAACCCTCCAAACAGTACAGGGGAAGGACACAGGTCAAGAAACTTGGACCACAGGCTCTTAACTTCTGTGTCACAGAACCCTTGGAAATTGTGATGCAAATATAGATGCTCACCCTGCACCCCTGAAAAATGCATAGACACATAGTTTTACATATGATTTTAGGAAGTAAACTGGTTCAGAGAGGCAAAAATGGTTTCTTATCCTTACTCAGCCACAACTGGGTGACCTTTGGCAAATCTCTTAAACCTCTCTGAACCCTAATTTCCTTAACTGGGTATATTATCCCATATGGATTAACCCCATTTGGTTACTGGGAAGAAGAAATAAGAAAGTAAGGGAAAGGGAAAAGTTGCTAAGATAGCTTGTAACACACAGCAGGTAGTCAATCAAGTGTATTCCCTTCCTTTTCTTTGTCAGGTCATCAGCTCAGATCCCCAAGGGCTAAGAAACTACAGAAAAGGGTTAGGAAAGCCTGTTTGCAAACGTTCCTGGGCTACACTAGTGACTTATCAGCTTACTTCTGAATGAGGCATACACTGAAGGCAGAGGCAGCTGTGAATAGGCAGGCAGACAGGGGAGGAAATTCAGGTCTCATAATCCCAGCCCGTTTTATAGCTTTACCAGCTGTTCCTGAGTCTTCTTCTGGTTTCGGGAGGCCTGCAAAAGGGCCTCTTTGGCCTCTTCAGCTTCTTGACGCTCTTTGGCCAGTTTTTCAGCCTCACTCTGGGCACGTTTCCGTTCCTGTTCAAGTTCCAGGGCTCTGCGGGTCTGTTCTTCCAGCTCTACCAAGAGAAGGAGGGGAAAATGCAATGAAGAGTGCAGAGATGAAGAAGGGACTCCTATCTTCTTTCCTGGAAATGCTTCACTCCAGAGCACAGCTGGAAGAAATCTTTGGGCCCTCTTCCTCTTGCCCATTCTTCATCTATCAGTAGCCACATCTGGATTATATGGCCTACATTTGCAGTTCGGGCAGAAGGGTCTCCATCTCCAACAAGTCAGGCTCTGAGAAAACTCAATCTCAAAGATGGCTCAAAGACTCACCTTGCTGAGCCTTCTTAGTCTGTTCTTCAATCTGCTTCAGTTTCTCCATCAGTTCCTCCTTCTCCCGTTCAATCTTCTCCTTCTCCTTTTCTGCCATCTCACGCTTCTTCTTCTCATTTTCTAGCAGAGCACTAGGAAAGGAGAAAGGGATGGAATAGGATAGCACAGCCACACGGAAGCCTTGGAATCCCCAAGGCTCTCTGGCATTAGACTCCCAGTCTCTACCCTTCTAAAACACTCAGGCATTGTGTGTTGGGACCACTCTACCTTATCTCCACATCCTTGCCCTCACATCATAGCCCCACACAGGCCAGTACAATCAGGGCCCTGTCAGTTTACCCCAGAGTCAGGAGACCCAACCTGGACATCTGGCTCTGCCATTAACATGAAGGTAATGTGAGTAAACTTTGTTATGTCACCTTTTTGCTCTTGCTCTCAGTACCCCTATGTGTAAAATGGCCTAATTAAGTACTTCCCTGTAGAACTTATGAAGTTAAAGGGGGACAAGTTTTGGCTCTGTGCTGGGATACTGTGCTTTAAAGCATGGTGATCTCTATGACTAAGGCATCAGTCCTCAGGCTTAACTCTACCTGCCCTCTGAAGCCCAGCTCTAGGTTACTTTTTTCCAGAATGTGTTGCAAATATAGAATATACATTTGCTTTTTCTTGCCCCAACATCTCTTCTAGGAGGCTTTATTTTCTTTCTTGGCTAGATGTCTTTCTTGTCTCTGAGCCCTCAGAATACTTGGCCTATCTATCCTCTCTCCATTCCTCCTGCTATTTTTATCCATAGCACTTCTGACCATCCCACATTCTACTTAAGTTGCTTCTTTGTTCTGTCTGTCTCTTCCTACTAGAATTACAGCTTCATGAGAGCAGGGATTTTTGTCTGTCTTTTTTTTCACTGCTCAGTACTTACTGAGTGAATGAAATGACACAGCAATTGTAGCTTAAACAGTTACGTATATACTTCTTTCCCCCACTAGACTATGAGGTCCTTGAGGACAGGTTCCTGCCAGATCCACCTGTATTAACTGCCCCCAATCTCAGGAAATTTTTTTCTGAATAAATGTGAACCTCAGTGTCTAACCTCTCATACATGACTGGAAGCTTCCTGAGGTTCCAAATTCTTTATGACAGAGTACCTACTAGAACACTGCTCTCAAACCTTAACATATATTGGGACCCTATTTTTTAAATAACTTATTGAGGTGAACATCACATAATGTAAAACTGACCATTTTAAAGTTAACAATTCAGTAGCATTTAGTACATTCACAATGTTGTACAAAAACCATGATGATCAGCTATGGAAGTACATTTTTCTGATAATGTTCCTTTCTCTTAAAAAAAAAAAGGAGTTCCTGTGTGGTGATCTCCAATAGGTTCTTCACAATGGTATAAAGGTCATATCAAAGTGTGGGCAAAGGGTTTGTTTGTGTTTATATAGAGGATCAAAGCCTAATTTGGCTACACAGAAAACGAATTAAGATATGATATGATGAAGAACTTCCAACATTAACATCCTCTGGAAGAGTCATTCCAGAAGATGAACATCAAAAAACTTCAACAAAGATCCTGGCGCTGCTGCAGTTGTAGCTGCATTCATCCCACCGGTTCCTGGACTTGCCATTGGAATGAAGAAGGAGATATCTAAGCTGGCCTGTGCATACAGTAAAACAACAAATTTGACTAGATCTATACTGTCAGAACTCAACCAAGAATTAGAAGTGCAAGTTGCAGCGCTCCAAAATCTTGCGACTACAGACTATCTACTGTTAAAAGAACATATGGGATGTGAACAGTTCCCAGGAATGGGTTGTTTTACTTTGTCCGATTTTTCTCAAACTATTCAAATTCAGTTAGACAATATACATCATATCATTGATAAGTTTTCACAAATGCCTAGGGTACCTAACTGGTTTTCTTGGTTTCATTGGATATGGCTGGTAATTGTAGGTCTGCTTTTGTTATGTAGCTGTATTCCTATTATGTTAATGTGTGTGCACAATTTAATTAGTAGTTTAAAACCTATACATGCTTATGTTACTCTACAAGAAGATATGTCAAAGAAATAATCAAACTTCCCATGTTTTCTTCCATCTGCTACTTCTATAGCTTTTCTTCTTCCTTCCTAATTACAACCCTTTAGTAGAATTTGTGTCTCATATCGAAAATTACTGAGTATCATAATTCTTCCAAGTGTTAAAGATACCTCAAGACAAATGCTGGGCATGGAAGCTACAGGGCATAAATCTGCAAAGAAGTAAAAAGCTAACCTTTTCAAACAATATTGCTTCTCTCGAACTTACCAACTTTACATTTCCCTGTATGGCCCCGGAAGATGACTGGTTAGCCAGAGATGGGTAAGATTCCTCAAGGGAGGAACAACCTAATACAGGCACAGTCGCAGGGGGGCCATCAGGAGAGAAATTGGGGATCAACAGAGGGGAGGCTTAGAACCTCACCCCTCCTGTTTTGAGCGAAATCTTCTGCATCCGTGGATGTTTTGTTGCCCTTGTCTAGCTTGGATTAATACTTAGTCTATAGGCACACACCTGATCATCTACATTTGCCCTCTTACAGCACTAAAATTAAGTTTTCTACCTTTATCTTGCATCTACCTACCACTTCAGCATTTTATTAAAATAATAATAATAATAATAATAAGGGAGAAATGTGGGATTCACATATAAATCAAGTATAAAAATCAAATGAATAATCATATCTGACTTGATTGTTTATAGTTCTTTTGATGCGTGATCAAAACTGAAAGTTTCTGTGATATGACTGCCTTTGCACTGTTCACCATGTAAAAACTTAATCATTATGTAAGAACTTGTTCACCATGTAAGAACTTGTTCGGTATGCTTCAGAAGATTGGAGACTGTTGAGAAAGAGGCTTGGGGTTGATTAATGACTGTGCATTGAGTCCCCTATACAGAATTTTAACAACCATTTGATCAATAAATATGAGAGACGCCCGTTCAAAAAAAATAAAAATAAAAATAAAATAAAATAAAATAAAATAAAACTTAATAAAAAAAAAACCATCCCTATCTAGTTCTAAAACATTTTCATCACTCCAAAGTAAAACTCCATACCCATTAAGCAGTTTTTCCCATCTCTACCAGCCCCCATCAACCACCTATTTGCATTCTGTATCTATGTATTTACCTATTCTGGATACTTCATATAAATGGAATCATACAGTATGTGAAATTTTGTGTCCGGTTTCCTTCACTTAGCACAATGTTTTAGAGGTTCCACTTTGCTTGGTTCCTTTTTATGGCTAAATAACATTCCACTATAGGACTATACAATTTGTTTATCAAGTCATCCATTGGTGGACACTTGGGCTGTTTCCACCTCTTGGCTCTGCACTGTTATAAACACGTCTACACATGGCTTGTTTGGACACCCGTTTTCAATTCTTTTGAGTATATATCTGTAAGTGGAATTGTGGGATCATATGATAAAATTCTATGTTTAACTTTCTGAGGAACCACAAAACTATTCCCACAGCAGCAGAACCATTTTACATTCCTACCAGCAATGTACATTTCCAATTTCTCTACATTTTTGCCAGCCCCCAGTTATGGTATTGTTTTTATTTATCATAACCATATTAGTGAATATGAAGTGGTACCTCACTGTGGCTTCGATTTTCATTTCCCTAATGACTAAGGATGTTTTCATGTGCCTGCTGGCCATTTGCATATCTTCTTTGGAGACTTGACCATGTTGGATGTTATGCAGATTCTGAATCAGTTGGTCTGATGTAGTCTCAGATTCTGCCTTTCTAACAAGTTCCCAAGTTGATACTGATGCTTGCTGAGCCTTGTTGCACTTTGAGTAGCAAAGGGCTACAGTGCACAGGGACTTGGTGAGGAAAATTCTGGTAGCTTTGCCCAATTCCACTCAAAAACCCTATAGAATCCAGATTTAAATGCTCATGGAGTCTTCTGCTACTACAACTGTAAATTATCAGATAGCCCACAGCAATGAAGAGTCTGCCTAGAAGAGCAAAAACATGAGGGTCATAGACAATGGGGAGCTATGAAACACCCCTCCCTCCTAAGAGCCTGTGAAATCCTAGGCTTCTGATTCCTAGTTCCTGGAGATGGGGATGCCTGAGGGGGTGTCTGTCATCCCTGAACAGTTTCTCTTTCTCTCTGTGTACCAGGATGACTGCATGCCCTGCCTTTAGCAGGCCTGGCACCTTTGAAAAATTAAATTTCTTTCCCTGACTGTACCCTATAACCCAGTTCCATAGCACCTACCGCTCCATTTGCTTCTGATGCTTCTCCTCCCGGGCCTGTGCCTTCATCTGCTGTACCTCAATGGTGTCAGGCTTGCGGCGGCGCATGTACAGCTCATGATTTCCCATGCACAGGGCCAAGATGCGCTTGTTAATCCGTAGCCGGGGAGCATAGAAGACAAAGTCCTGGTGGGGAACCAATGATCACAATTTGAAGGGATAGAAGAAGGTGAGTTTCTGCCTTCTGAAAAGCTAAATCCAAAAGCACTAGAAAGATTTTCTCATGTTATAGATGGGAAGATTAATTATCAGAATAGTGAAGTGACTTGCCCAAGGTCAAAGAGCAGGTTAGTGGCTAACACAGTACTAGAACACAGGCATCTTGGCTCTGAAATCAGTGCTCTTCCCATCAAACCTGTTTCTTTCAACCTTTGCTTATGAAAAGCATCCTAAAAATACTCTCATTCCAGTTGAAAGACAGGAACTGACTTTATCTTCTAGTTAGGGATCCTGCTGAGTCTCAGGGGCCTCTCTTAGAGGTCCAAAAACAACAAAAACCACACACACGCACACACACACACAAGAAAGTCCAGTGAGTTTGAGTTCATTACTACAAATATCACTGGACCAAGGTCATTGGCTGATGTGCTAACCTGCCACTGAACCCAAACTACTACTGTCTCATATAGCTTGGGGTGCACTGGAAGTAGCACAAGCTCCAGAAGTTTTTTTTGCATATCTTTTTTGTATAACCAATGTATAAATGCCAGCTCAACCATTTTTAGCTGTGTTATCTTGGGCAAATCACTTCATCTCTCCGAACCTCAATTTCACTGATTACAAAATGGGTATGCCACCACATACCTGACAATGTTGTTGAGAGTTTAAGGAGACAACACACATAAAGTGGCTAGCAGAGGTAGTTCAGAGAGCTCAGGGCTGGAGAACAATGGCTGAGGCCTCATGAGAAGGGTCTGGGCCATTATGCCTTGCTGGACACAAGGTACATGAGAAGAGAAGACCCTCATCCTACTCCCAATCACCAACTTTCCAGTCTTGCCAACTGCAGGCAACTGAGTAGGTGTCAAGTGTGGCAAGCAAATTAGAGGAATGACTGGACCCAAAGCACTTTCTTGTTCTTCAGTTGCTCTGGAGAGAAGTCTTGAGAAGATAGCAGCAAAGTTATACCAAAAAGAAAGTCTGCAGGATCATCTTTGTATCTGAACTTCTCCTGGCTCTGTCCTTTGTGCACAATTAAATATAAATCAAGTTCATAAACAATTTCTACTTTCTGGATCCTAAAGGCTTTAAAAGATAAGAAGCACTCTGTTTCCACCCCAGAGCCTTTGGTAGCAGAAGAAAGTGGCTAAGAGGCTACACTTGGACTGTCTGTGGCTTTCCCTCATCCATGCTGCTCCTGAGACACAGGTAGCAGGGTGGCACCAGGTACAGGATGCCATCTGGCCACTTCCTGGCTCATTTTTGCCTCCTGTTCCCACCCCTACACAAAAAAAAGTCAGAGAAAGGAGACAAAAAGACAATGACAGGATTGTTCCCAGCATTATCCAGGTTTTGCCAAGCACCTGTCTTGCCTTGGGGAGGTGTCACTTACCGGGGCTTTTTTGTCAATGGGTTTGATGACAAATTTCTTGTCATTGAAAGAAATGTTTCTGATTTCACTCCAGGGGAATCCTATCTTGGGAGTCAGTCTGTAGAAATAAAGACCAAGAATATCAGGAAAGAACAAGATGAGAAGGACATAGAGCATTGGTGCCTTGCTTTCCCCTCCACCAACTTCTCCCTTAAGATGGCAGACTCACTGACAGCTCAGCCAGTATCATCACATGCCACTAGGTCAGTTGACAGCACTGAGAATGCACAATGCTCCAACGAACATATTATTCCTTGCTTTTTTACTGTAACTTTTGCTAAGACATGGACCTTGTAACAATCTCTCACAAGAATCCCCAATCCTATTTAACTGGGACTCCTCTATCCAAGGTTGTAAAATTTGGAGAAAAGGTAAATAATGAGCTTCAAGATTCAGAAGTTACATTAACAGTAATCTATTGATCTCCATCCTCACCAAGGGAAGACCAAGGGGGAAAAAATAAGCCAAATGAGATAAAGCTGTAGCAAGAGCAATTATAGGCCAAAAGGCATTTAACATCATATGGGAGTAGTCCTAAAAATTAGATTCTATGCCAGTGCTGTCCCACAGAAATGTAATGACACCCACACATGTAATTTTAAATTTTCTAGAAGCCATATGAAAATAACTAAAAAGAAATAGATGAAATTAATTATGCTAACAGTTCATTTAATCTGGCACATCTTTTAAAGATATAAATCAGTATTTTAAAAAATACTAATGAAACATTTTACATTCAGTTTTTCATACTCAGTCTTCAAAGTGCTGATGTGTAGTTTATACTTACAGCACATCTCAATTCTGAGTACCCACATTTCAAGTGTTCAATAGCTATATGTGGCCAGTGGCTACCAAGGTGGACAGTGTAAGTCTAGTCAATGCAAGATGTAAATGCCTGAAGGAGGTTATGCATCCTGTCATATCTGGGCTGCTCTAAACTAGGCAGAAAAAGAACTATCCAGGTGGGAACTAGGAGATATAGTCTTATTACTCCATGGTGAGCCCTAGTGCTATTTAGAGTGGCCCAAATAAACTAAAAGACCTATGAGTTATACCTGTCATTTTGCTCATAAATGTTGAGACCGAGAGCATCTACCCCCAGCCACAGTTCTGAGCCTTTTTTGTTCTTGATGCTGAAGTAGTTCACACCATACATCTCCAGGTCCTGGGAAATCTTCAGATACTCCAGGACAGCATCCTCCCTAAACAACAGAATAAGGGGTTATAGAGGGGACCCTGTGAATTAGACCTAGGGAGATAGAAAGCCTACATGCTGTGTACTTCTGACAAGAATCTTGTCATTATGGGTGGGAAAGGGGATGGAAGGTGAGCAGATGATGGTGAAAAGCGTACAACATGACTTTTGCCAAGCAAAACCTGCTGACAGGAGCCTAAGGTCTGAGTTTCTGCAATATAATGAGTTGTAAGAAATACATATTTGGTCATTCATCCACAGTTCCTAAAGATACTGCAGTCTTAAAAGGTGAAATGGGTGGCTCATCATACTAATGAGAGACTTTTGGACCCCACCCAAGGGCAGCCTATAGCCAAGAATTTAGTCAATCATGACTATGCAATGAAGCCTCACAAAATCCTCTGAGAAGAGCTTATCATCACTCTCTTCCATCTGACCCTGCTTCTTGGTGAGACAGAGCTTCTACACTTGGGGAACCAGAACTCCTCCATGTGCCAGCAAGCCAGGTCCCAAGTTCCAGGAGGATAGAAGCCCCTTTATTTGGTACATTGCCCTATGTCTCTCTTCATCTGCCTATTAAAACTTGTATCCTTTTTGCTATCCTTTCTTAAACTGGTAAATGTGTTTTCCTGACTTCTGTGAGCCACTCTAGCAAATGAATCAAACCTAAGTGGGAAGGTTATGGGAAACTCCCATCTGTAGCCAATAGGTCAAAAGCATAGGGAACAGCCTGGGGCTTATGACCAGCATCTAGAGTTGGGGATGGAGGGCAGTCTTGTAGGATGCAGCCCTTAACCTGGGAATCTTAGGCACATTCTTAGTGGTGCCCAGATGGGGTGGTGATGCAAAAATGGAAAGATTTATTGCCCAATTAGACAACCCCCAAATAGTTTACCATGTTTAAAGAGCTCCTTCCCTATTTCTTTCTTGGGGATGAGCCTCTGGTGGCCCAGAAGCTCCCTAGAGATCCTGAGATCCCCTCCATTTCTTTATGGTCACTTTGGGCTACCAGTTCACAAAAAAACAGGGCTTTATAATGGCCCTGATTTGCCTTCTATCTCTAATTTGCCCTGTAATCTGCATTCCTGTTCTTCTCTCTCCAACATCCTCCTGTGTCCTTAGCCCTCTGCCACTTCTCCCTGTGGTACCACCTCATTCTTCTGGCAATGACAATGGAACCCACAGCTTCTAGGGCAGGCTTACCTGAGCATACCCCGATGCTCCTCATGCCACACCTGGATCCGCTCCTCCCACTGGTCCTTGTTGAGTTTGTGCTGCTCCAGGACTCTGGAAAGACAATGAGTAGTGAGTGGTTTAAAGTACAAAGCCCAAATGCAGGGATAAAGAGAAGCCCACTTAGCTTGCTGAGAGGTTGATGCAAAGAGGATGTAGAGTCAACCCACTGGGGTCACACTGGAAGCAGACTAAAATTACAGCAGGAGGTATTAATTGGACATAGGAAACTGCCACAGATGTAGGAGAGGTATAAGAATGGGTGACCAAGAAAGACAATGGAAATACCTTCCTTTGTATCTTTAACCAGAAAATCTGTAGTGTACTGTGGTCCCCAAGCCAAGCAGTAATGTATCAAGACTCGGTGCTGACTAGAGGGCCTGAGAGTATGGATAGGCCTCACAGAGGCATGCACATTCTCTCGTAGATCCTTGTGGGATCAACAGTTTGTGCTTGTGAGAACTCAGAGATGAGATTACAGTGTTTGGCTACAGAACAGAGAAATGAAGCCAAATGGCTTTGGGAGAAATTAATAGGTTCAACCTTCCAGATTTACTAAATCATAATCAAAGTTTACTTTAAACAAGCTACCTCAGATACCACAGGAGTGACTCAGGTAGAGTACCAGGGCACAACAATCCCTACCAACATCAGGTGAGTTCTGCATATGGGACTGAGGCTCCCAGAATGAAGAGGTTTTCTGTCCAATGCAAAAGCCTATGAAAGTGACCACTGGATACACTGAGAAAAAAACTAGGGTTAAAAAATCAGGGAGGTGGAGCCAAGATTTTAGCGTGAGTAGAGGAGCGGAAATCTCCTCCCCAAACCACATATATTTATGAAAATATAACAAAGACAATTTTTCCTACAATAGAGACCAGAGGACACAGGACAACATCCAGACCACATCCACACCTGCGAGAACCCAGCGCATAGCAAAGGGGGTAAGATACAAACCCCAGCCCGGCAGGACCCGAGCGCCCCTCCCCCGAACTCCCAGCAGGAGGAGAGGAGTCGAAGCCAGGAGGGAGAGGGAGCCCAGGACTGCTGAAAACCCAGCCCCAGTCATCCGGACCACAGCGCAGACACAGTGCATGAACGGGGTCCTGGATACTAGGGAAACAGGGCAGCAAGACCAGTGAGTGGGTCCCTGAGGCCGGCGCCTGAGGACAAAGAAAAGCGAGAGCTTTTTTTTTTTATTATTATTTATTTGATTTTGTTTTGTTTTGTTTTGTTTTGGCTAGTGCTTTTTGGAAGTCTTAAAGGGACAGGGCGGGACACTTAGTTCAGAGGCAGGGAATCTGGGGATCTCTGGGCACTCTAATCCCCTGGGCAGCAGGGAGCATGGATGCCCCTCACGAAGATAAATAGCTTCCCGGCCGCTCCCCCTCCAACATGTCTACACCATTTTGGAGAAGCTGCCCGAGACAGGTCAGGCCCACAGCAACAGCAGAGATAAACTCCATAGCAACCGGGCAGGAATCAGAAGCCCTGTCTGCGCGCAGCTGCCCAGCACAAGCCACTAGAGGTCGCTGTTCTTCCAGGAGAGGAAGGCCACAAAACAACAAGAAGGGAAGTTCTTCCAGCTGTCACTCGTCCCAGCTCTGCAAACTATTTCTATCACCATGAAAAGGCAAAATTACAGGCAAACCAAGATCACAGAGACAACACAAGAGAAGGAGACAGACCTAACCAGTCTTCCTGAAAAAGAATTGAAAATAAAAATCATAAACATGCTGACGGAGATGCAGAGAAATATGCAAGAGCTAAGGGATGAAGTCCGGAGGAAGATCACGGATGCCAGGAATGAGATTACAAAAGTGAAACAAACTCTGAAAGGATTTATAAACAGAATGGAAAAGAAGCAAGAGGCCATAGATGGAATAGAAACCAGAGAACAGGAACGCATAGAAGCTGACATAGAGAGAGATAAAAGGATCTCCAGGAATGAAACAATATTAAGAGAAGAGTGTGACCAATCCAAAAGGAACAATATCCGTATTATAGGGGTACCAGAAGAAGAAGAGAGAGAAAAAGGGATAGAAAGTGTCTTTGAAGAAATAATTGGTGAAAACTTCCCCAAGCTGGGGGAAGAAATAATCGAACAGACCACGGAAACACACAGAACTCCCAACAGAAAGGACCCAAGGAGGACAACACAAAGACAAATAATAATTAAAATGGCAAAGATCAAGGACAAGGAAAGAGTTTTATAGGCAGCTAGAGAGAAAAAGGTCACCTATAAAGGAAAACCTATCAGGCTATCATCAGACTTCTCGACAGAAACCTTACACGCCAGAAGAGAATGGCATGATATATTGAATGCAATGAAACAGAAGGGCCTTGAACGAAGGATACTGTATCCAGCATGATTATCATGTAAATATGATGGATGGATAAAACAATTCCCAGAAAAGCAAGAGCTGTGGGAATTTGCCTCCCACAAACCACCTGTACAGGGCATCTTACAGGGACTGCTCTAGAAGGGAGCACTCCTAAAAAGAGCACAGAACAAAACACCCAACATACTAAGAAGGGAGGAGGAGGAATAAGAGGGCAGAGAAGAAAAGAATCTCCAGACAGTGTATATAACAGGTCAATAAGCGAGCTAAGTTAGGCAGTATGATACTAAAGAGGCTAAAATTGAACCTTTGGTAACCACGAATGTAAAGCCTGCAATGGCAATTAGTACATATCTATCAATAGTCACCCTAAATGTAAATGGACTGAATGCACGAATCAAAAGACACAGAGTAATAGAATGGATAAAAAAGAAAGCTGCTTACAAGAAACTCACCTCAAACCCAAAGACATGCACAGACTAAAAGTCAAGGGATGGAAAAAGATATTTCATGCAAACAACAGACAGAAGAAAGCAGGGCTTGCAGTACTAATATCAGACAAAACAGACTTCAAAACAAAGAAAGTAACAAGAGATAAAGAAGGACACTACATAATGATAAAGGGCTCAGGCCAACAAGAGGATATAACCATTCTAAATATATATGCACCCAACACAGGAGCACCAGCATATGTGAAACAAATACTAACAGAACTAATGGGGGAAACAGACTGCAATGCATTTATTTTAGGAGACTTCAACACACCACTGAACCCAAAGGAGAGAACCACCAGGCAGAAAATAACTAAGGACACACAGACACTGAACAACACACTAGAATAGATGGACCTAATACACATCTATAGAACTCTACATCCAAAAGCAACAGGATACACATTCTTCTCAAGTGCACATGGAACATTATCCAGAATTAGACCACATACTAGCCCACAAAAAGAGCATCAGTAAATTCCAAAATACTGAAATTTTGGACCACACCAACTTTTCAGACCACAAAGGTATAAAACTAGAAATGAATTCTACAAAGAAAACAAAAAGGCTCACAAACACATGGAGGCTTAACAACATGCTCCTAAAAAATCAATGGATCAATGAACAAATTAAAATAGAGATACAGGGGAGGCGGAGCCAGGATGGCGGCGTGAGTAAAGCAGTGAAAATCTCCTCCCAAAAACACATAGGGCTATGAAAATATAACAAAGGAAAATCTTCCTAAAATAGAGACCACAGGACACAGGACAACATCCAGACCACATCCACACCTGCAAGAACCCAGCACCTTGCGAACGGGGTAAGATACAAGCCCTGGCCCGGCGGGACCCGAGCGCCCCTCCCCC